TCTTTCTTTCTTTCTTCTCTCTCTCTCTCTCTCTCTCTCCTCTCTCTCTCTCTCTCTCTCTCTCTCTCTCTCTCTCTCTCTCTCTCTCTCTCTCTCTCTCTCTCTCTCTCTCTCTCGCTCTCTCTCTCTCTCTCTCTCTCTCTCTCTCTCTCTCTCTCTCTCTCTAGTACTTTATGTACTCTATATCCTTTCCCCCCTCTCTTCCTCCCTCTATCACTCCATAGACAGGATTCTAATAACAGTCTAGGTGACAGGTACAGTTGAAGCACCAGTGATTCTGAGGACACTGTCCGGCGGCGACACAGCAATGATTTGTCACATATAGGAGACACTTCCAGTGAGTAAGTGATTCACTTGGCTGTCTAACTGTGCCAACTGTCAGTGTGTCTACTCTACCATTAATAAATAACATGCTCATTTTCCTTCAGCTTGAGTCTGTGGAGGGGGATGGCATGTGGCTCACTCAGTGGCTTATGTCCCTGGCAGGCAGATGTCTCAGCCAGCTTATGTTTAACTAGGGCCCAGATGTCATACACTGCTTGTCAAAATGATGCTTCATGGTTGCCAGACTTGATATAGAAGGCACCTTTAGCTCACAGGAGATTGACTGGGACTTCGTGGAGGTGTGAGGATAGAGTTTCAGAAGTAAGGGTTCCAATCTGTGAGTCTATAAAAGTTTAAATCCATATCACAATACAAGAAGAGTGCTGTTTTGTGTTACCCCCCTGTCACCTGATACTTCTGGATTCTGGTTTTGATTGATAGTGCCCTCAGGATGCATGCAGGTTGGACAGCCTAGTTTAAATGCACTCTCCTCTTCTTGACCATGTTGATTGACAGGTGAGAGAGGAAGAGGAATAGTTCCAGAATGTGTTCTCAACATTCCAAGGTCAGGGATGATGCTTCTAGAACACATTCCCTCAGATTGGCTGAATGATTGACATGACTGCTTTCAACCAAGTTCACCCCTCAGACTAAGTGTTTACTCCTGCAGTCCTGGTAGGCCTAATCTCAGAACCCACAACCAAATCTCCTGTGCGTCGGCCAGCTACTCTATATATGTTAACGTCCTCTGCATGGTCCTCTGTAGCTCAATTGGTAGAGCATGGCGCTTGTAACGCCAGGGTAATGGGTTCAATCCCCGGGACCACCCATACGTAAACATGTATACACACATGAGTGTAAGTCGCTTTGGATAAAAGCGTCTACTAAATGGCATATTATTATTATTAACATTTATGTTAACCATATGTCACGAGAGACTAGTGACCTACCTTCTCTGTACGGCTTCATAAAGGGTCTCTCAGCCCCTCTACATTTAACCTTACATCCAAAAATCCACTGCATGAAAACGTCCTCACCACTTTTCCCAATTTAGCCTTTACCACTGCATTATTTTCTAAAACATGGTCCTGTTGATGTTTTAGCAATAGAGTTGATACAGAGAAAACGTGTGTGAGCGTATTGCATGGATTACAGTTTTTCTCAATTGCTAAAACACTAAAACCCATTGGCTGAACAAAGTTCTCAGTTGCCTGGACTCATTTAGCTAATTATGCAGTCTGTTGTCAATACCTTAAACCATTTAACATGGTAAAACACAATTTGCAGATCTCACTTAGACTTTTCAGCAAAACTCTAAACACATTCTCATTCTCAAAACACATTCTGCACTCTAATGCACATGTCATACATACTGGTAAACACAAGTGGCAACAATCAAATACAAATAGAGAACACATGTCATTGATTGAACACAACCACTCAAAATTGATTTAACCTGTTTCAAATGATGCGACAACCAATATAAGCCAGTTCAGAGAGCAAACAGGTTGTTGAAGGTGGGAAGGAGAAAGTCTGAGAATGGATAGAAGAAGCAACGTGAGAGGACGAGTGCGTATGCGAGGTGGGCGACGAGGAGGAAGAGGAGGAGGAGGGCAAGAAAGAGGAAGAGGAGGACGAAGAGGAAGAGGAAGACAAAGAGTGGAAATATCTGATGAAATTCGAGCAACAGTCATAGACCATTTTCTTGTCCATGGACTGACAATGAGGGAAGCAGGACATAGAGTGCAACCCAATTTGAGCCGATTTTCTGTGTCCACCATAGTAAGGACATTCAGAGAAGAGAACAGGTACAGTATGCTACTGTATTTTTGTAATTGCACATTTACTGTACTACACTATATGCAGCTGTTTCAATATACATTTGTAAAGTTAATCACTGTATGTATTGTACTGCATGAATATGTTTTGTAACTGCACAACTACTTTATGTAGAATTGCAAGGCTGCCACATGCAGGTGGAAGGAAAGCTATATTCACTCGGGAGCAAGAGGCCGTTATAGTTGGCATGGTCCTTCAAGATAATGCAATACGACTCAGAGAAATTCAGGAACGAGTGATACAAGACAACACACACTTCCAGGGAATCGACAGTGTGAGCATTTCCACAATTGACCGTGTCCTCCATCGTAACAGGATGAGAATCCCATTCCCACCTATGTGATAGTGTGGGACAATGTCAGTTTCCACCGAGCTGCTCAGGTAAGGGAATGGTTTAACATCAATGGGCAGTTTATGAACTTGTACCTCCCTCCATACTCGCCTTTCCTGAATCCGATTGAGGAGTTTATCTCCTCTTGGAGATGGAAAGGGTATGATGGACAACTCTACACCAGAGGAGATATGCTGCAAGCCATGGATTTATCCTGTGGTGATATAGGTGAGGAATCATGTCAGGGCTGGATACGGCACACAAGAGGCTTCTTCCCCCGTTGCCTCAGGAGGGACAATATTGCTTGTGATGTCGACATAGTGATCTGGCCTGACCCAGCCCAAAGACAAGAAGAAGCACATTGATCACATGTTTACTCCTTTGGTTTTTGTCCCTTTTAGTATTGTATACTGTAATACAGTGCATTGTAGGCTGAATACTGTACAATAGACAAATTGTATGGCCCTGAACATTGTGCTTTCCATTTGTTAACAGTACTGACTGCTCAATAGATTTTGACTGGTTGCAGGTTCATATCAACAAAGAACAAGAATTACAGTATCACAGAGACAAAGGACAAGTTTGTGAGATGCAGGGTACAGTACTGTAAAAATAGGGTTTCAAGGAGGAGGAAGAACAAAAAACAAAATTGCAAAGAGCAAAGCAGAGTAGTAATTTCTGATCAATTTTGAGCTACTATGATAGAACATGTTTTCGTTCATCAAAAGATAATGACGGAAAAATATGAAATTTGTTTTGAGATTTAAAATGTACTTCTCCCTGAGAACTGTATGTTTTGAACAATGTGTTTTCTATTTTTCAGTGTATTGTTTACTGACTGCTTGAGAGTGTATATTATTTAGATCACTTTGTTTATGATTTGAGAGCAGTGTTTGATTTTGAACACAGGTAAAACTGTTTTGAGGCGAATGTTTCATTTTGCGAGAGGGGTCAGAGGTTTTGTAAATAGTGCTTGAAGATGAGGTTTTGTGTTTTAGCAATTGAGAAAAACTTTAATGAAGTGTATTAAATAAGTGCATTATAGAGCAGAATAATTGGGTGCTTTAATGTCATGCAGCAACAGTTGAAAATAATACATTTTTGAATGGCTGAGTTAATGACCAGTGGTTGTGTTCTAAGGGATATTATAGATGCTTAGCAATGGCTGAGTGCCCTTTATAAGGATCATTTAAGAAATAGCTATTGTGTCAAACCCAGTGAGCAATGTCATTCAAATAAATATGAAACGTTCATTTAATGCTTTAATTTGAGTTATCCCGTAAGAGAGCTAATTTGTTTGTCTCTTACCCTTAGAAACATCATTAGAGCAACAGTAATCATATTCTCAGTTCCTTTTGCATTACAATCCCTTTGCTCAAGTAGGCTTCACACAAGTTAAGGACTTTTTAGTTGCCTTTAGACTCAAAGACCCCTGGAGTGATATGTAATGCCACTTGTTAATTTGTACATTTTCATCCCTAGATGTGTCTGGGTTCAGGAAATAGGCTACATTTCTGCAGTGGATTTTGATTCAGTGTCATGCTAATTCAGATGGTTCCGTGAGTGGAATTGATTAGGCTACTTGAAGTAGTGCCAAATGAGAAAGCACGTATACTGTACAAGCAAACATTCATATTTACTTTCAGTGATTTCAAATTTTCTTTTTTTTTCTGTATCTAACAACGATCCCATTCTGCCCTCTAGTGGATGCCCTCTATAACTACAGCATTATTAGGATTATAAACCTGGGGTTTGTTCAGGAGGATGCAACATTACTGGACGTTCAGAGAGAAACATGGAAGTCAAATAATGCGGCTCAACTTCCGGTTGTTTGTTTGTTTATTTGGATCCCCATTAGCTTTTGCAGAAGCAGCAGCTACTCCTCCTGGGGTAAAAACAAAAACAAACAAACAACATGACAAGTAGCAAAACATTGATACACTAATAGACAAGGACAGTCACACAAATTTAAAATACAACGATGTACAAACAAACAAATAATACAAACAATACAACAACAAAATAATGTGTGTGTTAGAGCGTCTGTACAATATGTACGTGTTTGTGTCCCTGCCCTTCCATGTTTACCCCACAGCGGCAGTATTGGACTATAGGCAAGGTGAGAAAGTGTGCGCTTCTATTTTTGTAAAATAAATGGGTAGATAGATTAAGTAAGTAAAGTGCATGCGTTAGGCTACATTCAACTATATATTTTAGACGTTTTTAGCTTATTTGAGCATTTAAAAATGTGTATAGGCCTATCAAATTTGGAAAATGTCGGTCAGCCTAATTCAATTGTAGTCGAAATGTGAACTCATGTTATATAATCTTCCAACGAATATAGATATGTAAAATAGGCTAAATCCGAGCCAAGACGGGAACTGAAATTGAGGCCATTCTGACATCAGCAGCCAAAAGGGGATGAGACCCTCCCGGGGAAGAGGCGGTTTGTGATGATGTCACAGGATGCCACTGTAGTGGATCAATTTCAACTTGACAGCTCGAGCTCCTCTCCTCGCGTTTACAGTAGAGCACACTGGATTGAACCCTCGCAGAACGCACAACCGGACTATTAGCGCTCTGCAAACAGCGTCGGGAAAAGCAGAATTTGCTATTTTCTTTTCATTTGAAGGCTACACTTCTCAGTAAGGTAAGACACACTTTAATGAATGCCAGTCCAGCAGGAATGCCAGATTTGAATAATTTCTGGTCTCTTTCTGAAATTGGTTCTGATTGGGTTTGGGTAGGCTATCAAGGTGGATCAGAATAAAAATGTCTACACAAATAGGCCTAATGATAATAAAGTGATAGTATATAGTTTATGTTAAGATTGGGTCAAGAGCTAATAAATCTTGATCAACCATGAAGAGTGCCTTCTGGAGAACAGTTGTTTAAACCTTACGGTTTACGTTCACTCATACCCTGTTGCTGTTGTTGCTATTTTTGTTGTTGTTGTTATCTGCATTCTTATGTAAGAGGAAGTTTGAACATGATGAAATGCTAAGGGATAATATGGTTTAGATAGCTAGGGCTGGCCATGGTGTCAGCAGGACAGGATTATATACACATCTAGAAAGAACGCTTCACGAAAGGCAGGGAGACAAAATGACACGACAATATGAACAAGGGAAGGAATAGAGATCAACGGGCTATATCCTTCACACACAAGGGGATACTATAGAAGTTACATCGTTTTTCTACCAACTTTTCATCTTGTAAGTTTAATGTTCTTTCTATTGAGCATTACAATGCCACATATTAGCTGGTTGCACAGCTTCACTGAGTTCTATGACGGCTCTGGTCCCTCTCAGGACAATATAACCTTCACTATCTGTTGTCATGGAGATCCAGACAGTTTGGAGGATGTCTGGAAGCCACTTATTGGCGCCTGCTGAAAAGCTCACACTGCCTGTTAGGTAATAGCCTGGACTGCAGATGTCTGCTGGCAAACTTCTCATTACAATGGTTACATGGTTACAAAAGCACCATGGTCAGTCTAAACTGATTGATAGAAGGCTTTGGTTCTGACTTCAGAAGCAGCACCATGTAAAACTTACACCCACCTCTCTATCACTGTGATTGGTTTTGCTGCAATTCATTGATGTGAAAAAGATTCCATTCCGAAGAGATGAGATGTGAGGGGAGTACACACACACTGACAAAGGGTTTATCTTATTTCAATACACTATACAGATGCAGGCGGTGCTTGACTTGGCCAGGAGCTCACCGGAGCTGAGTACCGGCACCGCAAAGTTTCTACTGCTTGAGCTCCTGTTCCTCTTATAGAATGTTAGCTCAAATGTACTGTGGAGCTCCTGCACCTAAATATAAACAGTACTGGCACCTATTTCAGTCCAAGTCAAGCACTGGATGCAGGGCATGCTGTAACAAAACAAGTGCAACAACACTTTCATCTTCAGGTGTGCTAGCTACACATTGGAATGGGGTTGGTGCCCCTGAATGTGCCCCTTTTAAGAGAGAAAGCACTGTGTTGACTAGAGTTTTGGACAGTGGAAAGATTTGGGTACATTTCCAGGGGTGTGTTCAAGAAGGACATAAGTTACACAAACTGTCAGAGGGTTGACAAGTGCTTCCTGATTTAGGAGGGGTGGGATGGGGCTACTGCAGGAAAGTGTAGAGAGAGAAAGAGAGAGAGGGATAGAGAGAGACAGGGAGAGGAGATGGAGAGAGAGAGCATGGCATGGGGGGGGGGGGTCCTGGGAAATGAAATACCTCAATGTTTCCTTGGTTTCCTTGGTTCTGCCAAACTCGCTCATAAACTCACACACACTCTCTTTCCCCACCCCCTCATGAATTCCATTCATTTGGTACTGTGGAACCTTTGGGGGTGTCGGCCGACTCAACCCTCCATGTTATGACCCAGGAAAGCTTGGAGAGGAAACCCTGACATGTCTCTCAGGCCCCTCCCTGCTGTTCCTCCCTGGTGCTTCAGGAAGGGCACAAGGTTATCATGGTTGGGCCTGCTGTTATTCTGCTTTGCTTCAGAGAATAGAAGTGCTTTTGTCTTATAGCCAAGCTGATGGTTTAAACCTGACGCTGCATGTTTGGGGAACGACCGTCGCTAGCTCTGTTTTTGTTTTTAAAAAGATAGCTAATGCATTAATATCCAGGGGTGTGAGTTTGAGGAGCCGAGATCCCTGTGGATGTATGTGATAGACAGATTTATAGTACCCACTACTCACTATGTATGGTATCTTGGTTTTACGGGTAGTATATTTGTAAGTTGGTGCCGTTCCTTTCACAGATGCCATGTGTGTTTTATTATTAAGGAAAGGACCAAAGGGGTTGGTTCTGGGTTCAGTTCTGTGTGATTGATGGCTTCATCACATCACATCAACGTGTGTCTCTTTAATGCTTTCAAACCAAAACAAGTGTATTTTGAAATAGACAGATGTTTTGTTTACTGACATGGGTGTGATAGGGTAGTTGGCTATGTCAGTGGTGACATAACCATGGGCGAAACTTTGGTTTTAGTAGTGGGGGGGGGGGGCATAATTTATTTTTTACGCATGGTCCTAAAGCAGACCATTGCCTCATTATGTATCACATTCCAAAGATAAAACTGGGGGGGGGACAAAAATGCAATTTCAGAATGTGGGGGGACATGCCCCCGCCCCCCCCCCCCCCGTCCCCCCCGTCCCCAGTGAAAATTGCGCCCCTGGACATAACATTCATATAAGTGACAATGTCATTGATAATAATGTAATTCATTTATCATATGAGTGACATAGCATTCAATCATATGACTGGTTCATCTAGATCCATCTATAAAGGCCTTAGTTTTCTTGAAGAAACCTTGTTTTAGTGTATCTCTCTCCCTCTTCTCCCTGTTTCTGCAGTATATTCTCCCTCTCTCTGAGACTGATAGGGTGATTATTATTGCAAGCAGTCTTGGCTCTGAGCCATATATATCAGTTAGCTTGGTTGGGGGTGAAATGTTCCTCTCAGTAAAACCCTGTCCACCATTCACAGACCTGCTGACCTGTCTCTATCTCTCCTCCTGGACCCGTTGACAGCAGAGCCAGGATGGATGCTAACGCCATATTCTCACTTCTGTTGCTGTGTTCTGTCACTGAGGTAATATACTCACCCAAGTTGTGAAGTTATTTACCCTTTGTCCTCGATATGCCTTTTATAAACTCACAGTGGCATGCAGAGTGAGTATGATTCCTCTTGAAAGTCATTAAAACATTATTATAACTCATATTTAACTCTCAATCTACACATTCACTCTCTTGATTTGGTTTGATACACTAAAATTCTCTACGATCATCTCCTGACCTGTCCGTGAGTGTGATGTTTCCTCTGAGTGTTGGCCATTTTCTTCTCAGCTGTGTGTGTTGGCGAGCCCTGAGGGGAATGACTCCCAGCAGCAGCACTATCCCCAGAACGTCTACCACGACATCGGTCTCACCAGGAACACAATAGTCACTGCTCAGTTTGAGTGCTATCAGAAGATCATGAAAAACGACAAACACAACAAAATAGGTAAGTGTCCCTTTAGGGTGGTGTGGTGCAGGTTGTAATGGGGTAGCTCATTTGTTCCATTTCAATCTCATGATTTACACAGTAGAGTATTTCAATGGCAGTTGACCGATATAAATTTACTCTTAGCATATTCAATTTGAATTTAAACGGTCTTCAGTCTTAACTGAAATTGTCCTAACCCCAGTGCATATCACCTTCTAAGGAACTGACGACCTAGTTTCAGTTTCAACTTAAAAGTATGTTAAAGGGATACCTCTGGATTCTGGCAATGATGCCCTTTATCTACTTCCCCAGAGTCAGATGAAGTCGTGGATACCATTTTTATGTATCTGTGTCCAGTATGAATGAAGTTATAGGTAGTTTTGCGAGCCAATGCTAACTAGCGTTAGTGCAATGACTGGAAGTCTATGAGTATCTGCTACCATGCGCATTGCCAAAATCTCAAAGTATCCTTTTAAACTGCGTGTGTTGTTGTGTCCCTTCACTCAGGGCCAGTTTGTAACAGGACGTGGGATGGCTGGCTGTGCTGGGAGGACACAGAGGCAGGCTTCACTACAAACCAGCACTGTCCAGACTACTTCCAAGACTTTGACACAGCAGGTCTGTATTTTGCATCCTGCCTGGCCTCTCCAACCCAACGACATTGAACAGAGATTATTGTATAAGACTGTATGAGGTAATGTAAGAGTCAGCCTGGCTATTCTCTGGTAGGCTTTTAGAGAAATGTCCTTTGCTGTTTTCAACATGTATTATTTTAGTATGGATAAAGGGATAAAAGTTATTCTCGTAAATGGATATCGTTCTTTTTGAATTAATGCTTTGTTGATTGCTGAGATGAGCAAGTGTCACACCTATCCGCTCTGCTGTTGACTCACGGTTGGTTGATGCATTACCCCACTCACCTTCTATTTCTCACCACCAGAAATGGCGTCCAAAGTGTGCAGTGAAACGGGTGATTGGTTTCTACACCCAGAGAGCAACAGGACATGGACAAACTACACCAAATGTACAGCATACACCAGCGCAGGAAGAGTGGTAAGAAAAGTCACCTTTTGATAAGCTTTTTTCAAATCTATGTAGTTATGTTGTTGTGGATATTTAAGCAATAAGGCCCGAGGAGGTGTGGTATATGGCCAATATACCACGGCTAAGGGCTGTTCTTATGCATGACGCAACGTGGAGTGCCTGAATACAGCCGTTAGCCGTGGTATATTGGCCATATATCACAAACCCCCGAGGTGCGTTATTGCTATTATAAACTGGTTACCAACATAATTAGAGCAGTAAAAATAAATGTTTATCATACCCCTGGTATACGGTCTGATATACCACGGCTGTCTGCCAATCACCATTCAGGGCTCGAACGACCCAGTTTATAATACATTGTAATGCATGTTAGGTTGACATGCTGTATTCTTTCTCAGACAGCGATGAATCTCTACTACCTGGTTCTGATTGGACATGGACTGTCGCTGACGTCATTGTTCTTCTCATTGGGAATCTTTTTTCATTTCAAGTAAGTCACTCTGTTACCCCATAAGTATGCTACTGTTTTATATTTTATATTATTAACCTATATTTTATCAGGGTGTCATATTGAGACCAAGTCTCTTTTTCAGACGAGCCCTGCACAATACAAACACACATATAAAATACTAAATTACAAAACAGGACCATAAAAAATGAACACAATCTTCTCTTAGAGCATTCCCCACAAATGTTTAAAATTATATATATGGTGTTTTTCATACATTAGATTGAATAATTTGATTATTTTAGATGGAAAGGAGAAAGACTAATTCATACTGGCCTACTCACTAGGAGGCATGAACGACAAAAGTGTAATCAATTATGTTGGGGAAATGTATTTATAAGGACTTTAACTCGATAAAGACAGTACATTGATCCCCTTCCATTGTTATCCATTTAACATAAGGATATTTTATTTCTTTTATTACATCTTTCTTTATTTCTTTCCCTACCAGGAGTCTAAGCTGCCAGAGGATAACGCTCCACAAAAACCTATTTTTTTCATTTGTGTTGAACTCAGTCATCACCATCATCTGGTTGACAGCGGTGGCTAACAACCAGGGACTAGTACAGAGCAACCCTGTGAGTATGATAACTAACAACCAGGGACTAGTACAGAGCAACCCTGTGAGTATGATAACTAACAACCAGGGACTAGTACAGAGCAGCCCTGTGAGTATGATGACTAACAACCAGGAACTAGTACAACCCTGTGAGTATGATGACTAACAACCAGGAACTAGTACAGAGCAACCCTGTGAGTATGATGACTAACAACCAGGAAGTAGTACAGAGCAACCCTGTGAGTGTGATAACTAACAACCAGGGACTAGTACAGAGCAACCCTGTGAGTATGATGACTAACAACCAGGAACTAGTACAGAGCAACCCTGTGAGTATGATGACTAACAACCAGGGACTAGTACAGAGCAACCCTGTAGTGGTATGATGACTAACAACCAGGAACTAGTACAGAGCAACCCTGTGAGTATGCTTACTAACAACCAGCGAACTAGTACAACCCTGTGAGTATGATGACTGAACAACCAGGGGACTAGTACAAGAGCAACCCGTGTGAGCTATGCTGACTAACAACCAGGAACTAGTACAGAGCAACCCTGTGAGTATGATGACTAACAACCAGGAAGTAGTACAACCCTGTGAGTATGATGACTAACAACCAGGAACTAGTACAACCCTGTGAGTATGATGACTAACAACCAGGAACTAGTACAACCCTGTGAGTATGCAACGCAGCAGTAATTATACTGTACATGTACAGTACCCGTCAAAAGTTTGGACACACCTACTCATTCAAGGGTTTTTCTTTATTTTTACTATTTTTTACATTGTAGAATAATAGTGAAGACATCAAAACTATGAAATAACACATATGGAATCATGTAGTAACCAAAAAAGTGTTAAACAAATAAAAATATATGTTATATTTATATTTTATGCCAAGAGTGTGCAAAGCTGTCATCAAGGCAAAGTGTGTCTATTTGAAGAATCTCAAATAAAAATACATTTTGATTTGTTTAACACTTTTTTGGTTTCTACATGATTCCATATGTGTTATTTCATAGTTTTGATGTCTTCACTATTATTCTACAATGTAGAAAATAGTAAAAATAAAGAAAAACCCTTGAATGAGTAGGTGTTCTAAAACTTTTGACCGGTAGTGTATACATTAAAGGTATATATATATATATATATATATATATATATATTAAAGGTATATATATTGAAGGTCCCAACCTGTTTCAAAAGAACAGAATTAACTTAGGATGTAAATAATGACTAAAGGATTTCCAAACGCAGTAGACACGTAACTCAAGGTAAAACATCTACTCAACATCTATTCCAAGCTGATACTAGTTCTGCTTCTCCCACCACCACCAGGTGAGCTGTAAGGTGATCATGTTTATTCACCTGTACCTGTTTGGCTGTAACTACTTCTGGATGCTGTGTGAGGGCATCTACCTGCACACCCTCATCGTCGTGGCCGTGTTCGCTGAGAAACAACTCCTCATGTGGTACTACCTGCTCGGATGGGGTATGTCAAGTTATGATCAAACCATTAACTAATGAAACTAATCAACTAACTATTACACTATTAAACAGCTTTGGCCTTTTTAAGGGATGTTTTTAAGGGTTCATTTCATGTTGAATTACAGTTGTTGGTCTTAGAGTGGTCCATTATGTCATCCATTAAAATCTATTATTGAATCATCTCCCAGGATTTCCACTCATACCTGCATTGATACATGCAATAGCACGAAGCTACTACTACAATGATAAGTAAGTCTTCTGAGAACTTTCTCTCTGGTCTTTGATAGATATGTCATTCTCAGACATGAGTCATGGATAAGCCACGTTGTCCACACGAGTCAAATATCTCTTGGTATCTCCCTCTCTCCTCCACAGTTGTTGGATCAGCTCAAACACATCCCTGCTGTATATCATCCACGGTCCCATCTGTGCTGCCCTGCTGGTGAGCCCTTCTTTAAGCCACAGTTACAATAAGTACAATAACTGTTCTTTTCCTTGTGTGATCACTGGAAACAAAACTGTCGTCAACTTCATGTCTCCTTTATACTCTGGGTGGGATTTGAAGTACATTTACTTTGGACATAATATGCTGGTCTCCGACTGGACTCATTGGCTTATTTCCTAAATATCTCTCTTTCTCTCTCTCTCTTCTTTCTCTCTCTCTCTTCTCCCCCTCCTCTCTATCCCTCCCTCTCTCTCGCTCTCTCCTCCCCCCCTCTCTCCAGGTGAATCTGTTCTTCCTGTTGAATATTGTGCGTGTCCTCATCACCAAGCTGAAGGTAATCCACCAACAAGCAGAGCAGAATTTCTGCTATTTGCTGTAACAAATGGACTAATAAAGTTGTATTGTATTTTAGGTGACCCACCAGGCTGAATCTAGCCTCTACATGAAGGCTGTGAGAGCCACCCTGATCCTGGTCCCTCTCCTGGGCATCCAGTTTGTCTTGTTCCCCTACAAACCCCAGGGACGCGTCGCCTTGGAGATCTACGACTATATTATGAACATCCTCATGCACTACCAGGTAGGACAACTCTAGAACATTCTCAAGTTTCTAGAACTCTAGAGAACTTCTAGAACTTCTAACTCAACTCTAGAACATCCTCATGCACTACCAGGTAGGACTCAACTCTAGAACAGTTTCTAGAACTCTAGAGAACTTTAGAATTTCTAACTTAACTCTAGAAGTGAAGTAAGAATAGTGTCCCAAACTGGTTAGTGTTATCTTCTTTGTGTTGAAGTATCCTCTTTCTATCTTCAGGGTCTCCTGGTTGCCACCATCTTCTGCTTCTTCAATGGGGAGGTAAGACTTCAGCGTGATGTTACATCAATTCTGAACTAACTCTCCATCAGAAAGCTGAGTTGATGCGACCATAATTACATTGATTAGGTATAACGTTGAAGCAATGTAAACTTCTTTCTTCCAGGTCCAAGGTGTTTTGCGAAGGCACTGGAACCAGCAGAGGATCCAGTTTGGTAGTAACTTCGCCCACGCAGATGTCTTCCGCTCAGCCTCATACGTGGCGTCATCTCTGACGGAGGTGCACCGCTGCTACAGCATTGACGGGCACACCGAACACATGAACGGCAAGAACAGCTACCACGACATCGAGACTGTGACACCCATCATACTCCGGTCGGAAAACCTGTTTGCCTGAGAACTGAGGCTGAAGGTCGGAGGTCGAAGGTTTGGGGCCTGGGTCTTCTTGACCTCTGTACAGTTACACAGTGGCAGTTAAACTTTCAGTTGAAATGGCTGCAGACCATTTGGAACTCATTTTCCACCATCTTCTACAACATTTTCTCAAACTTTTTGGCAGTAGCCTTCACAACGATTGGATGATGGTGAAAAGTACATTAACATTTATAGGGAGCACTACTCAACATCTTGATCTGGTAAATACAGTTACCTTCAACTGATTCACTTTAACTTTATGAGGACTGAATAGGCACTTAACTAGAGACACCTCTAGTAAAGGAATAGACACTCCCTACACTACCTTAAGGAATATATCTTGCCGTTTCATCCTGTGGACTGAAGAGCCTGCGACTCTACAACAACCTCTAACCCAACAGGAGTACAGTGCAATTCACTTGTTGGGCCTACTGGTGATATAATGACTTCCATTCTGTAAAGGACAAAGGAAACCTAATGTACATGGACCTTAAGCACTGGATGATGTATTCAGATGGACAGGCTCTTTATGGCTCTTTTAGACAAGACAAGGAACTGAAGGTTACAGTGGATGTTTTGATACAGTGTACAATTACAATGGTTTTCTTTTATAGCAATTAGTATTGAATGTGTTACCATGTGTTGTTATATGTGGTTTGAATTTGCATGGTCATCGATGGCTACTTATTTATAACTATGTTACAGTAGTACATGATGGACCCATTAGAATGTATTTCCCTGTCCAGCGGTCCTCTCCCTTCTGTCTAGACTAGGTTTTAGTCCCTCTGTGGGATTTTATGTCTGGCACATAAAATGACCTTGGTTTTGCCTCAGTTTTATCTGTCATAGTTTAAAGTATGTAAGTAATTTTTTTTCATAGAGTTGCTTCATATCCAAATGCTGGAGAGAATGCTGCTCACATGTGGATACTTAATGTAGAGAGAGAGAGAGAGAGAGAGAGAAGAGAGAGAGAGAGAGAGAGTAGAGAGAGATAGAGAGAGAGCAGAGAGAGTAAGAGATAGATTCATCGATGATCATCGATGCCTCTCTCTAGACGATCTCGAGCTCCCATCTTTCTCTCATCCCTCTATCGCTCTCTCTCTCTCGTCTCTCTCTCTCTCTCTCTCTCCTCTCTCTCGCCCTTCTCTCTCTCTCTCTTCATCCTTCGCTCTCTCTGCGGCCTTTAGTTTTTTTTGGTGTGTTTGTTTTTTTCGCTGTTTTTTTTTTTTTTTTTTTTTTTCTCCTTCCTCTCTCCGTACCCCCTGTTGTGTTTTTCTGTCTCTGTTTTCAACATGTATGTCTATGGATATGCCAATATAGAAACACAACATATTCAAGGAGGAGTCTGTAGGGTATTTATATGTTTCTCACTACTCCATTTTGAGTTCCTTATCAACCATGCCATGTCATTTTGACTTTGTCAGCACTGTTTTAATGAACTTTGTTGTAGTATTGTATACCTTGATATTGTAGAGGTGCAGTTCTGTTTTCATGATACATGATAACTGATGGCTTGGTCTGACATATATTATGGATGGTGTCTGAACTCATAGTAATGCTCATTTGGTCTTTGGTAGCCAGTGATAGGATTCAGAACAAACTGTTTTGTGTTCCACTCAATTCTGAGTTCTACTTAGGAACCCTTCAGGCATTTTTCTCTGTTCTTCTATGAATCTAATGTTTTTCCTTGCGCTGAGTGTTGACATTGTAGGTGTGCCATGATGTTTATTATTCTTACTGTGGGGAATGTTTGTGAAGTGTAATGCAATTATAGGTCATTAACAAACGCTGCTTTGACACTGCTGGTTTTTGTTATACTGTACTGAGTTGTGAAACCAACACTGAAGAGCCCTGGTGTACACACACACACACACACTTATACACACACACACACACACACACACACACACACACACACACACACACTTACACACACTCACTTACACATACACACTCACTTACACACACACACTCACACACGCACACGCACACTCACACACACTCACACACACACACACTCACTTTTGGTTTATTGGATCTTGTGTGGTCTGTGCTTTGAACAAATCTTGTTGTTGCATTAAATTAGTATTGATTGCTACACTACAAAAGCTCCCGTTTTTATTCATTTATTGGATTCAAATGTGATCTAGAATCCCCTGTATGAAAGCTGTTACAAGTTAATACAAGCGTTATAAGCATACAGGAGTGCAAAATCATTTCCATCAGTAGGGAACGTCAATATCTTCAAACGATTCATGCCGGGAAAACACCAAAGTGCTGAAATGAACTGTAATGATTTAATCAATGCTTGTGGAAATGTAAACATCTGTTTTTTGTTTAAAGCAAATTGGGGATTTCTTTGAACAATACTTAATGATTAAGTTCCCTGAGGCATAACCTTCCAGTTAACATATTCTAACATCTGCTATGCATATTTCTTGGTAAAAGTAAGTTGCATGTTTGATATTCTTGTCCCATTATGAGGACCAACAGAGTTCAGAGGATATGCATTACTGGAAAACATTAGCCATCAATACTATTCTATACTGTTTCCCATAATAATGATCAATGTCCCTGAGAAAGGGGTCTTGTTCATGTTATTGTATCCCCATTTTGATCTCGTGTCTGGGTCTGGGTCTGGGACTGGGTCTGGGTCTGGGACTGGGTCTGGGTCTGGGACTGGGTCTGGGTCTGGGACTGGGTCTGGGTCTGGGACTGGGTCTGGGACTGGGACTGGGACTGGGGACTGGGTCTGTGACTGGGACTGGGTCTGGGACTGGGACTGGGACTGTGTCTGGGACTGGGACTGTGTCTGTGTCTGGAACTCTGTCTGGGACTGGGACTGTGACTGGAACTTCCTATGGAGAGTTGGAGTTGTTGTCATCAGAGGATGCACGTCCACTTCCTCATTGTGACACACTGCTCCATATTTTCCTCTCAGTCACTGGGTTACTGTAGTTGCCGAGTTACGGTAGCATAACATTTATTTTCACCTCTTAAATCCTACAAATCACTCATCAAAGACATGATATATATATGTAAGGTTGACGCTCTTGAAATGATTGTTCCTATCCATGACAATTCACAACAACAATATCAAAACAACCGGCTTCCGCTCAGTTCTGTATTGTTGTACGGATCGAAATCTGATATGTGCTATGTACAGAACACAGACTCACTTCCTGTTTAAAAAATACATGTGTTCCCCTTGTCTCATGACCACTGGCCCTGTTTACTAGGTATAGCATTCACAGGGCCAGTAATACCATGGCTCCTGTCAACTGTCTGGTCATTGGCTCTCTATGGAACAACCATTCTGTAATGTATATTTCTATGGGAATGGCGTCTCCATCTCTGAGAATGCAGAATGTTCGGTGTAGAATGTTCCGGCTCTTCTTGGTCAGCTTTCCCCAGGTCCGGTCCGGACCTGAACTGTTAGGATGGAAGGCCCAAAAACGGCCCACGACCACCACTTCCAGGCAACGTCAACCTTCACCTCAGAGAAACTCAGTCAGTGTACGTTGAACTGTAGCTCCATCAACGAACCTATTAGAACTAATGGTCAGGAATGTCACTATGTTTGTACCACCGGAACATGACTCCAAAAAGGCACCAAATGTTGAGCCGATTGACCCTTCTATGACACCGCCCCTCCCTCCTACTGTTGGCAGCCCTCTTAGATCTAGCCAAACTTTACAAAAGGGCCCATGGGCGTCACTGTGCAGCCATAATGACATCTGTGTGACACTGACCCCAGGCAGCTGAAACAGGTGCAATGTAATCCATCTCTACCAAATGGAGGTGCAAATGGGTTGACAAAATAAACAGAGAGAGCGAGAGATCGGGGAGAGGGAGAGAGAGAGAGAGAAGAAGAGAGACGGAGATGAGATAGATCGTTGGGGAGGTAGAGAGAGATAGGGAGAGATCTCTTGGAGGAGATTTTCTCGCGCTTTCTCGTCTCGGATCGCTGTGATCTTGTCTCTTTCTCTCTCTTCGTTTCTCCTGCTCTCGCGCGCAGAGATTAGAGAGATTTGAACCCTGCTCCAATACCTTCAGTTCTACATAATGGCTTTTAGTGGCAATGATGATCTACCCTAATCTGACTTCCTTCAGAGTTTAACTCTGGCAAAACATTAGCATTCCCCCTGTCTGGCTGTTAGAAGAGGAGCAATGGAACTGAATCCCATCACCGCCTAAATATTTGTTGAACTACAAGGGGTCATAGCCTGTCTCTACACACTATGGTTGCGTCTCAAATGGCACCCTATTCCCAATATAGCGTACTACTTTTGAACAGGGCCCATATGGCACTGGTCAAAAGTAGTACACTATGAGGCGAATGGGGTGCCATTTGGGACACAACCTATACAGTGGGGAAAAAAGGATTTAGTCAGCCACCAATTGTGCAAGTTCTCCCACTTAAAAAGATGAGAGAGGCCTGTAATTTTCATCATAGGTACACGTCAACTATGACGTCAAATTGACCACATTGTAGGATATTTAATTAATTTATTTGCAAATTATGGTGGAAAATAAGTATTTGGTCAATAACAAAAGTTTCTCAATACTTTGTTATATACCCTTTGTTGGCAATGACACAGGTCAAACGTTTTCTGTAAGTCTTCACATGGTTTTCACACACTGTTGCTGGTATTTTGGCCCATTCCTCCATGCAGATCTCCTCTAGAGCAGTGATGTTTTGGGGCTGTCGCTGGGCAACACAGACTTTCAACTCCCTCCAAAGATTTTCTATGGGGTTGAGATCTGGAGACTGGCTAGGCCACTCCAGGACCTTGAAATGCTTCTTATGAAGCCACTCCTTCGTTGCCCGGGCGGTGTGTTTGGGATCATTGTCATGCTGAAAGACCCAGCCACGTTTCATCTTCAATGCCCTTGCTGATGGAAGGAGGTTTTCACTCAAAATCTCACGATACATGGCCCCATTCATTCTTTCCTTTACACGGATCAGTCGTCCTGGTCCCTTCGCAGAAAAACAGCCCCAAAGCATGATGTTTCCACCCCCATGCTTCACAGTAGGTATGGTGTTCTTTGGATGCAACTCAGCATTCTTTGTCCTCCAAACACGACGAGTTGAGTTTTTACCAAAAAGTTCTATTTTGGTTTCATCTGACCATTGACATTCTCCCAATCCTCTTCTGGATCATCCAAATGCACTCTAGCAAACTTCAGACGGGCCTGGACATGTACTGGCTTAAGCAGGGGGACACGTCTGGCACTGCAGGATTTGAGTCCCTGGCGGCGTAGTGTGTTACTGATGGTAGGCTTTGTTACTTTGGTCCCAGCTCTCTGCAGGTCATTCACTATGTCCCCCCATGTGGTTCTGGGATTTTTACTCACCGTTGTTGTGATCATTTTGACCCCACAGGGTGAGATCTTGCGTGGAGCCCCAGATCGAGGGAGATTATCAGTGGTCTTGTATGTCTTCCATTTCCTAATAATTGCTCCCACAGTTGATTTCTTCAAACCAAGCTGCTTACCTATTGCAGATTCAGTCTTCCCAGCCTGGTGCAGGTCTACAATTTTGTTTCTGGTGTCCTTTGACAGCTCTTTGGTCTTGGCCATAGTGGAGTTTGGAGTGTGACTGTTTGAGGTTGTGGACAGGTGTCTTTTATACTGATAACAAGTTCAAACAGGTGCCATTAATACAGGTAACGAGTGGAGGACAGAGGAGCCTCTTAAAGAAGAAGTTACAGGTCTGTGAGAGCCAGAAATCTTGCTTGTTTGTAGGTGACCAAATACTTATTTTCCACCATAATTTGCTAATAAATTCATTAAAAATCCTACAATGTGATTTTCTGGATTTTTTTTTCTCAATTTGTCTGTCATAGTTGACGTGTACCTATGATGAAAATTACAGGCCTCTCTCATCTTTTTAAGTGGGAGAATTTGCACGATTGGTGGCTGACTAAATACTTTTTTCTCCCACTGTATCTGCTATATATCCAGATTCCCAGTGTGTCTGTCAGTGTGTGGGTGAAAGATGAGCGAAGGTCAGATAGATTGCATGGAGCAGGCTTGGCCTGCCTTCCATGGAACACTGACAACTTATCTAACACATTCCAGAACTACGTATCTGTGGAAGCATGTGTGGGACATTCTTTTGAGGTTTGTTTGAGAGCCATGTTGACAGGATAATCCCTTGACCACAACATCGTAATCAAGTGCTTTTTGCATGAGGAAATGGAATTGAATGGAATAGACCTCCATTACTGGTGGATCCAGTCAGCTTATAAGGTAGGCTATAAGCTAATATCAGCCCACTTTGCTTCAACCACAATGTATTGTCGAAGATCATTTCCAGTCACACCATCATTACCATTAGTGACAGTAAAAACCAGCAATGATGACAACCCAATACGAGCAACCAAAGACAGACACACATCTGGCAAAGAGATAAATGCTTAGAACATGATCTGGGCTTGCCAAGTATAGGATGTCTGCACTCTTGAGAACAATGGAATGACTTCTTGGCTGAGGCTGAGTGTGGAGGGTGTGGAGAGGTTAGGTGGAGCTCCGAGCTCCGTGGCCCAGTCGAGTGGATGTGACCTGGGCAGGCTGGGCTGGATGGCTGGGTGGGTGGGGCCCGCAGGAAGTCTGGTGCTCCGTTGGCCCGTCAGTCCGCTTGGCCTTACCGACAGACAGACACAGGGCCGTAAATTGTAAACTGTCAGGGCGCTCCCATTCGATTCCACAGTTAGGTTTTTGGGTGTCGTTGGTGGTTTGGGACGCATGTGGCGTAACACTCATCATGATTGAATAGATTTACTTATGGTCTCACTGACATTCTGTGAAACAGAATGTTCTGAAAGTTATGGGCATAACACAACTCTAACAGAGAGCAGATACTAAATGCTTTCTGTAGAAGTTGATGAAAATGCAAGCGATGGGATCATTACTATAGTGTTTCTCCCATATTGTTGTTCATATAGGTTAGGTGAGGAAACGTCTCAAAGCCATGTTTCATTGTGTGATTTCTCATAAGACAACCCCTCCCCAAAGTCCAGATGATAAATTATCTGTCAAGGTCCATGAAATTATTTAGTCATAACCATTTCAATAATTAGGTTGCCGTCATTGCTTGCATGATAATGTGCAACTAAAAGCACAGTACAGTTTTGTCGGATGCAGGGACGTAGAATATGTTTGGGTTCAATGTTTGATTGCCTATTGTTCATTACTGACTCACTAAACGTAAACTAAAACTCATCATTTCCCACACCAGCTTGTGAAACCAGGTATTTTCCAGACACTTAACTTAGGGTTAGTATCAGGCGAGCAACTTGAACCCAAACAAGTTCTCAAGGAAGGAACAAAGTCGTTAGTAATTCCTAGAAGAGCCCATTAAGACATTACAGAAACAATCAGGGGGTAATGAACGCAGTTCTTCTGCTATTCAGAGGAATGCTAACAGCCAGTGTCCAGACAGCCCACTCACACTAGGTGTGCCTTCCTCTACCCCTCCAGCCCTCCACCCCTCCAGTCCTCTACCCCTCCAGGCCTCCAGCCATCATCCCCTCCAGCCCTCCACCCCTCCAGTCCTCTACCCCTCCAGCCCTCCAGGCCTCCAGCTCTCCACCCCTCTAGCCCTCCAGCCCTCTAGCCCTCCACCCCTATAGCCCTCCACCCCTCCAGCCCTCCACCCCTCCTGCCCTCCAGCTCTCCACCCCTATAGCCCTCCACCCCTCCAGCCCTCCACCCCTCCAGGCCTCCAGCCCTCCAGCCCTCCACCCCTCCAGCCCTCCACCCCTCCAGCCCTCCACCCCTCCAGCCCTCCACCCCTCCTGCCCTCCAGCTCTCCACCCTATAGCCCTCCACCCCTCCAGCCCTCCACCCCCTCCAGGCCTCCAGCCCTCCAGCCCTCCACCCCTCCAGCCCTCCACCCCTCCAGCCCTCCACCCCTCCAGCCCTCCACCCCCTCCAGCCCTCCACCCCTCCACCCCTCCAGGCCTCCAGCCCTCCAGCCTCCAGCTCTCCACCCCTCTAGCCCTCCAGCCCTCTAGCCCTCCACCCCTATAGCCCTCCACCCCTCCAGCCCTCCACCCCTCCAGCCCCTCCACCCCTCCAGCCCTCCACCCCTCCAGCCCTCCACCCCTCCAGCCCTCCACCCCTCCTGCCCTCCAGCTCTCCACCCCTATAGCCCTCCACCCCTCCAGCCCTCCACCCCTCCAGGCCTCCACCCCTCCAGCCCTCCACCCCTCCAGCCCTCTACCCCTCCTGCCCTCCAGCTCTCCACCCCTCTAGCCCTCCACCCCTCCAGCCCTCCACCCCTCCAGGCCTCCAGCCCTCCAGCCCTCCACCATGCAGTCTCCACCATTCCAGAGTCTCCCAGAGAACTCTCTCACTCCTCTCCTTGTTTCCTGACATTGTTCTCTTCCCAGCGCCGACCGCAGGCTCCTCCCAGGATATGGGAAAAGGTGGGATGTTAAAGCACACTATTTCCTGTCGGCCAGCGCCGTGGAGAGGGAGGGTTGGGCAGCCAGATATGACCTTTGACCCCTTAAAAGAAGAATGGCATTTTTAGGAGAATCCATCCTGGTGGAAGAATAGGCTAGTCTCTAGACCAACTAAGGGAACCTTTGAAAACGTGACGTTTCAGAATCAGGACATGTTACCTGTACAATATCTCTGTATACTCACTCATAAACCAAGCCTGATCGCCAACGTTATGAGTTGCACAGACCACAGCACATTTCTCATGCTTGTTCAAGTAAGATTTCATAATCGCTGGCTTGGAAAAGTCCGCTGGATAAATCAAGTAGACTTAAGAGATTCTACAGAGCCAGAAGAGTGCAGCCAGATGCCATATTGAGCAATTAGACTTTTACTGAGTGAGGATTACCGGAGCTTCCAGTCGGCAAGATGTCAGACCTAATTTATGGTGGTTTGGTTGTCCAATGGTCATGAGTGATTAAAGCCAAGAGGTTTTCATAGGGCCAGTATGTCTCGATGCCACAACATTAAGTGTATCTACAGTGTTATATGGTATTAAAAAAAAGACATCATATTGCCATATGGTTCCTGTGCCTATCTATCTCCAAGATCTTCATTTTCAACACTGAAGCAACAACATTATGTGTTCTCATAAACAGCTGGTCTGTTGTGCAACCATTCCGACAACAACCCAGTAATGAGTGTGAAGAACTGAGTGTGAAGAACTGAATGTGAAGTACTGAGTGTGAAGAACTGAGTGTGAAAACCTGAATGTGAAGAAAATAAAGTAATGAGGTCTCTAACCAATGGCCACGGAGGAGGGTGGTGAGAGAAGAAGATCCTCCCCAGTGGCCACAGAGGAGAGCGGTGAGAGAAGAAGATCCTCCCCAGTGGCCACAGAGGAGAGCGGTGAGAGAAGAAGATCTTTCCCAGCGTCCTTTGGGTGTTCGGAGAGAGACAGGAAGGAAAAGGAGTAGCTGGGAAAACTCAGCGAGGCTCCTCACCAAACACAGCTCTGTGACGAAGGAGACCCTGGTTCAGGATGCCAGCGTCACTGACAGGCCGTACTGTCAGTACTGTAGTACTATACAACCCACACAGAGGATGGGCAGACACACACACACACACACACACACACACACACACGCCCATGTGCGCCCCACACACACACGGGCCCACACACACACACACAGACAGACACACGCAGACAAAACACAACACACACACACACAACACCAGAAGATGAAGAGGAGACAGATGAACAGGTTTAGCCCGGAAATGTGAAACGACTACTTCCTCTCAGAGATGAGCAGGAACAGAACTGTAAACCCAAATTAACTGACTGTCCCAGTGGGTCAGAGAGGAAGGTCCCGGACCCTCCCTGGCTTCCTGTCACAGACCTCAGTCACAGGGTCCACAGGAGGAGCACAGCGCCCCCCCTATGTCCACCTGTTGTTACAGCAACACATTGGCACTTGACAAAACCAGCAAGATACTGTATCACTTGTGTTTTTTGTTATAAGTGAGACATCCATCCACAGTCTAAAAAGCTGACCTCCATGATAAAAGATGCTCCTCCTACAATCAATTTTTGTTAGATTTTACAAACATCAGAGCCTGCTAGTACTAATCAAATCAAATCAAATTGTATTTGTCACATACACGTGTTTAGCAGATGTTATTGTGGGTGTAGCGAAATGCTTGTGCTTCTAGCTCCGACAGTGCAGTAATATCTAACAAGTAATATCTAACAATTTCACAACATATACCCAATACACACAAATGTAAGTAAGGAATGGAATTTAAGACTATATACATATACAGTGAGGGAAAAAAGTATTTGATCCCCTGCTGATTTTGTACATTTGCCCACTGACAAATAAATGATCAGTCTATAATTTTAATGGTAGGTTTTTTTTAACAGTGAGAGACAGAATAACAACAAAAAAATCCAGAAAAACGCATGTCAAAAATGTTATAAATTTATTTGCATTTTAATGAGGGAAATAAGTATTTCACCCCCTCTCAATCAGAAAGATTTCTGGCTCCCAGGTGTCTTTTATACAGGTAACAAGCTGAGATTAGGAGCACACTCATAAAGGGAGTGCTCATAACCTCAGCTTGTTACCTGTATAAAAGACACCTGTCCACAGAAGCAATCAATCAATCAGATTCCAAACTCTCCCCCATGGCCAAGACCAAAGAGCTCTCCAAGGATGTCAGGGACAAGATTGTAGACCTACACAAGGCTGGAATGGGCTACAAGACCATCGCCAAGCAGCTTGGTGAGAAGGTGACAACAGTTTGTGCGATTAGTCGCAAATGGAAGAAACACAAAATAACTGTCAATCTCCCTCGGCCTGGGGCTCCATGCAAGATCTCACCTCGTGGAGTTGCAATGATCATAAGAACAGTGAGGAATCAGCCCAGAACTACACGGGAGGATCTTGTCAATGATCTCAAGGCAGCTGGGACCATAGTCACCAAGAAAACAATTGGTAACACACTAGGTCGTGAAGGACTGAAATCCTGCAGCGCCCGCAAGGTCCACATATAGAAAGCACATATACAGGCCCGTCTGAAGTTTGCCAATTAACATCTGAATGATTCAGAGGAGAACTGGGTGAAAGTGTTGTGGTCAGATGAGACCAAAATCAAGTTCTTTGGCATCAACTCAACTCGCTGTGTTTGGAGGAGGAATGCTGCCTATGATCCCAAGAACACCATCCCCACCGTCAAACATGGAGGTGGAAACATTATGCTTTTGTTAGGCCTACTGCTGCTAGGTAGCTCTCTCTCTGCTCTCTCCCTCCTCCTCCCTCTCCCAGTGTCTGTTTTGATTGCAGGAGTGAAGTCTGGTGTGCGGGAGTCAGGGTTCCAGCTGCAGCTCATTCACCATAATCACCTCAGCCTTTAAGACCCGGTCAAACTTGCCACTCATCGTCAGATCATAGTCAAGACGACCATGTTAGTCTCGCTGTTGACTCAACCTGCTTGTTTTCGCTCTTTGTGTTTTTGGCCTGTTCTATTTACTTTTTTCCTGTGCCACAGATTATTGGAACCTGACTCCTGCCTCCGCTTCACTCCTGCCACCACCATCCTGCTTACCACTACCGGACCTTCCTTTTGGACTCACCACGGACACTAGGACGTTATGGTACCACTCCTGCTCAGAACCTGGATCTGTTAACCTCCCTGTAAACCTGGACTTGCTCTTCCCCTATTTTTGGAAACCTGGACAATTGCACGTTGTAAATAAACCTGTTAAACCTTCTCTGGCTCGGTGTAGTTGTCTGCATTTGGGTTCATATCTAGTTAAATCGTGACAGCTTTGGGGGTGTTTTTCTGCTAAGGGGACAGGACAACTTCACCACATCAAAGGGACGATGGACGGGGCCATGTACCGTCAAAATATTTGGTGAGAACATCCTTCCCTCAGCCAGGGCATTGAAAATGGGTCGTGGATGGGTATTCCAGCATGACAATGACCCAAAACACACGGCCAAGGCAACAAAGGAGTGGCTCAAGAAGAAGCACATTAAGGTCCTGGAGTGGCCTAGCCAGTCTCCAGACCTTAATCCCATAGAAAATCTGTGGAGGGAGCTGAAGGTTCGAGTTGCCAAACGTCAGCCTCGAAACATTAATGACTTGTAGAAGATCTGCAAAGAGGAGTGGGACAAAATCCCTCCTGAGATGTGTGCAAACCTGTTGGCCAACTACAAGAAATGTCTGACCTCTGTGATTGCCAACAAGGGTTTTTGCCACCAAGTACTAAGTCATGTTTTGCAGAGGGATCAAATACTTATTTCCCTCATTAAAATGCAAATCAATTTATAACATTTTTGACATGCGTTTTTCTGGATTTTGTTGTTGTTATTCTGTCTCTCACTGTTCAAATAAACCTACCATTAAAATTATAGACTGATCATGTCTTTGTCAGTGGGCAAACATACAAAATCAGCAGGGGATCAAATACTTTTTCCCCTCACTGTATGGACAAGCAATGACAGAGCGGCATGGACTAAGATACAGTAGAATATTAAAGAATACAGTATATACATATGAGATGAGTAATGGAAGATATGTAAACATTATTAAAGTGACTAGTGTTCCATTTCTTAAAGTGGCAGTGATTTCAATAGGCAACAGTCTGATGGCCTTGAGATAGAAGCTGTCATTCTCTCGGTCCCAGCTTTGAAGCACCTGTACTGACCTCGCCTTCTGGATGATAGCGGGGTGAACAGGCAGTGCCTCGGGTGGTTGATGTCCTTGATGATCTTTTTGGCCTTCCTGTGACATCGAGTGCTGTAGGTGTCCTGGAGGGCGAGTAGTTTGCCCCTGGTAATGCGTTCGGCAGACCGTACCACCCTCGGGAGAGCCCTGCGGTTGCGGGCAGTGCAGTTGCCGTACCAGGCGGTGACACAGCCTGACAGGATGCTCTCAATTGTGCATCTGTAAAGGTTTGTGAGGGTTTTAGGTGCCAAGCAAAATTTCTTCAGCCTCCTGAGGTTGAAGAGGCTCTTTTGCGCCTTCTTCACCACACTGTCTGCGTGGGTGGACCATTTAAGTTTGTTAGTGATGTGTTCGCCAAGGAACTTGAAGCTTTCCACCTTCTCCACTGCGGCCCCGTTGATGTGGATAGGGGGGGATGCACCCTCTGCTGTTTCCTGAAGTCCACGATCATCTCCTTTGTTTTGTTGACGTTGAGTTTGAGGTTATTTTCTAGGGCACCACTCTCCCAGAGCCCTCACCTCCTCCCTGTAGGCGGTCTCGTCATTGTTGGTAATCATGCCTACTACTGTTGTGTCGTCTGCAAACTTGATGATTGAGTTGGAGGTGTGCTTGGCCACACAGTCATGGGTGAACAGGGAGTACAGGAGGGGGCTCAGCACGCACCCTTGTGGGGCCCCAGTGTTGAGGATCAGCAAAGTGGAGGTGTTGTTTCCTACCTTCACCACCTGGGGGTGGCCCGTCAGGAAGTCCAGGACCCAGTTGCACATGGCGGGGTTCAGACCCAGGGCCTCGAGCTTAATGATGAGCTTGGAGGGTACTATGGTGTTGAATGCTGAGCTATAGTCAATGAACAGCATTCTTACATAGGTATTCCTCTTGTCCAGATGGGATAGCGCAGTGTGCAGTGTGATGGCGATTGCATCGTCTGTGGATCTATTGGGGTGGTAAGCAAATTGAAGTGGGTCTAGGGTGACAGGTAAGGTAGAGGTGATATGATCCTTGGCTAGTCTCTCAAAGCACTTCATGATGACAGAGGTGAGTGCTACGGGGCGATAGTCATTTAGTTCAGTTACCTTTGCTTTCTTGGGTACAGGAACAATGGTGGCCATCTTGAAGCATATGGGGACAGCAGACTGGGATAGGGAGAGATTGAACATGTCCATAAACACACCAGCCAGCTGGTCTGCGCATGGTCTGAGGACGCGGCTGAGGACGCGGCTCTGGGCCGGCAGCCTTGCGGGGGTTAACATGCTTAAATGTCTTACTCGGAGAAGGAGAGCCCAGTCCTTGGTAGTGGGCCGCGTCGGTGGCACTGTGTTATCCTCAAAGTAGGCGAAGAAGGTGTTTAGCTTGTCTGGAAGCGAGACGTCAGTGTCGGAGACGTGGCTGGTTTTCCTTTTGTAGTCCGTGATTGTCTGTAGACCCTGCCACATACGTCTCGTGTCTGAGCCGTTGAATTGGGACTCCACTTTGTCTCTATACTGATGTTCTGCCAGTTTAATTGCCTTGCGGAGTGAGTAGCTACACTGTTTGTATTCTGCCATATTCCCAGTCACCTTGCCATGGTTAAATGCGGTGGTTCGCGCTTTCAATTTTGCGCAAATGCTGCCATCTAGCCATGGTTTCTGGTTAGGGTAGGCTAGGGTTACAGTGGAGGTTAGGGTTAGGTTAGGGTTACAGTGGAGGTTAGGGTTAGGTTAGGGTTACGGTGAAGGTTAGGGTTAGGGTTAGGGTTAGGTTACAGTGGAGGTTAGGGTTACAGTGGAGGTTAGGGTTACGTTAGGGTTACAGTGGAGGTTAGGGTTAGGTTAGGGTTACAGTGGAGGTTAGGTTTACAGTGGAGGTTAGGGTTACGTTAGGGTTACAGTGGAGGTTAGGGTTAGGTTAGGGTTACGGTGAAGGTTAGGGTTAGGGTTAGGATAAGGTTACAGTGGAGGTTAGGGTTACAGTGGAGGTTAGGGTTACAGTGGAGGTTAGGGTTAGGATAGGGTTACAGTGGAGGTTAAGGTTAAGGTTACAGTGGAGGTTAAGGTTAGTGCTACAGTAGAGGTTAGGGTTACAGTGGAGGTTAGGGTTAGGTTAAGACTGCTGGTTTACATGGCCTGAGGAACCCTGTAACATTCAAGCCTGTCTGCTGGACACAGTCCAGTGTCTCTGGACAGCTCTCTGGCTGACACAGCACCACAGATGTACACACTGCTGTCTTCACCTAATCCCTCAGCACTGAACACACACACACACACACACACACAAATACACACGAACACACACACACACACAAATACAGTTGATGACACTGTTGTGTCAGGTTGGGTATCAAATGCTGGCCATAGAAAAATGCCTCATGGTTTTACATCATAGTGAATCTCTAGTGTTAGGCAGTGTGTGTGTGTGTGTGTGTGTGTGTGTGTGTGTGTTTGAACCTGATTTTGTATTCCTAATGAGGTCAGTTAGTTCTCAGGTCATAAGGTTTCCCTCCTAGCGCTGGCCTTTCCTGTGACCCCCAGTCTCCAGCGCTGAGTGGAGGGCGTAGCAGCACTTCCATTGTGGTGAGAAAATAAACATTATTGTCAGCGTGTGACCAACCCTCTTATGTTTAACATATACATTGTCTCGAAGGCGTCTGGTGGACCACTTAAGACAATATATATTTCCTTGCTTGGGACAAAATGCATTCCCTTAACAGTGGAAGGGTTCTTTCGCCATTGGATGGGGCAGGGGCGAAACACCATGGGGTTCAGGTCAAAAGTCCCCAGATGTGGCCGGGCTTGGTCCTTATATGGCACATTCCTCACATGTCCTGCCTCGGTGGGATCGAATCCTGGCTTTCTCAACTATACCGCCCTCTGTCCATCTCCTCCTCACTTCATGTCTGTCTCTCTAGCAATAAAACATTTAAATTACATTTATGCAATTCAGCTAGTTTTGATGGTCATGAATGACAGCAATATATAGGCCTACCTTAAGGTTCAATTTGAACCTCACATCAGTGCAGAAAAGGAAGAAAGGACCACAGTCCTCTATGTAGTGCCACAGTCAGACGCTGTACAGGTGCTTTTCAAAACACACAGGAAACAGAGAGAACAAGCAGAAAACACTAAAGCATTGGCCCGTCCAGTCACATCTGTCATCAAGCCACTCTATAAACCTTTTCATCAATCAATCAATCAATCAATCAAATGTATTTATAAAGCCCTTTTTACATCAGCAGATGTCACAAAGTGCCAACAGTCCCCTGTAGCTCAGTTGGTAGAGCATGGCGCTTGCAACGCCAGGGTTGTGGGTTCGTTTCCCATGGGGGGCCAGTATGTGTCAAGGGCTGATGTGGATGTGGTGTTGGAGTCAGGTGCAGGACACAGAAGCTTAGTCTAACAGACCTTACTTGTTAGAAACACGACAATACAAAATAACGGGCCTCAACAACAACGGAGGCGAGCGATACGCAAACTGTGCGCAAATACACAAAATATTACGCAAATAGTGCGTCCGTACTCTAAATACACGAGAGCAAAATACACAGCACAGGCGGACAATTACACACAACTAACTACAAACAAAACGAGAAACTTATAGGGGACATAATGAACACTAAATGGAAACAGGTGTACAAGGAAGACAAAACCAAACAAACATCGATAACATTCAACGGTGGCAGCTAGTACTCCGGGGACGACGAACGCCGAAGCCTGCCCGAGCAAGGAGGAGGAGCAGCCTCGGCCGAATCCGTGACAGTATGAAAATGTATGCACTCACTAACTGTAAGTCGCTCTGGATAAGAGCGTCTGCTAAATGACTAAATTGCATTTTTTTTAAATAATGTAATACAGAAACCAAGCCTAAAACCCCAAACAGCAAGCAATGCAGATGTAGAAGCACGGTGGCTTGGAAAAACTCCCTAGAAAGGCAGAAACCTAGGAAGAAACCATCTTTAAACCATCTTTAAACTATCTTCATCTTTAAACATTAGTGAAACGAGAAATAAAGTGACAGGTACTATTTTGTCAATTTATCTGAGTTGACAGAAGTCGTAGGTACACAGAAATTGTTCATTGTTATTCTTGGTGAAATGTATTACATACTAGTAGGCTGTTTAAAGAATTGTTCAAAGAAGCCATTGCAATTTTGGCATGCAATGCTGAATTCCATAGGCTACATTGAGGAGAAATGTTGTTTTAATACAAATCTATACATCATTTATAAAAGATGATTTGATTTGATTTTAATTCCCCTCTTGCTTTTGTTGTATAGTAGTATTAAAGTGTTCTCTTAAATTCTCTTTTAATTCTCCTTTTGCCAAAATGAAAATAGTTCCCTCATCTAAAAATGAAGGTCTCAACAGACATAGCCTGTGGGTCATAGCCGGCTCCAAGTGAAACCCAGAGAGTGTCACGTTTTTTTAAGCCCAGTGGGAGACGAGAGGGCGACCCTGCAACATGTGCTCACTGAACTTTAGCTCCTTCTCTTCCTGTAGGATGCCCCTTGCGCTGACTGAGAGAGCCACACACAATACAGACAGTGAGAGGCTGGGGAACAACAGACGCATCAGCCTTAGCTTTGGCCCAAACTCCAGAGAGGAGAGGAGAGGAGAGGCGTGCATGCAGCCACTGCCCACTTTGGGACGGAACCAATACCAATACTCTCTGTGTGTGTGTGTGTGTGTGTGTGTGTGTGTGTGTGTTTAACTATACTTGTGAATAGTAAACAAACAAACATTTGACCAACTGGGGAGATTTTGTAATCCCCACAAGGAAAAATTATATTTCTAGGGGGTTTAGGGTTAAAGTTAGAATTAGTGTTAGGGTTATAATTAGAGCTAGGGGTTAAAGGTTAGGTTTAGGAGTTAGGAGTTAGGGTTAGGTTTAGTGTTAGGGTTAAGGTTAGGTTTTGGGATTAAGATTGGGGTTAAAAATAGGGTTAGGGTTAGGGGTTAGGGAAAATAGGATTTTGAATGGGAATCAATTGTGTGTCGCCACAAGGTTAGTTAAGAAGACTGTGACTGTGTGTGTGTGTGTGTGTGAGCGAGAGAGAGAGAAAGAGAGAAAATGGAAAATGGAGAGAACTGTCATCATTTATAATGCATAGGGGGAAACTGTTGGGAATCCATTCTGCGAACAGTCTTCAATGGAAAAGTTGTTGTGGCATCAGTGGTATATATTGCAGGACTGTAAATAATATAGCCTAACAGAGTTTGTGGGTCTCTGGGTGACCATTGTAAATTGCTATCAGATGGTGTTGTGATTGTGTTGTCCTAGAACTCTCAAGCACATGCTGAGCATGAACACAGACTCACTCACAACACTCTGAAATATGATTTGCTAGGCTAAATCTGGTTCCTAACCTGTCTACAGGTAAGACAACCTTCGTAACATGCTAATATCATGGTATTGTACTTATTGCCAATTGTACAGCATGTAATATCGCATGAATTCACAAGGGGGCACACAGGCACCAAGTACAAAGGCGTCTTTCTCTGAATTACCATGACTACAGCAAACAGGTTCCTTCGAGTTGTTGTTGATGCTTACGTCAGTTTCAGAGAGTTTAGAAATACGCTAGCTTTAGTAGTTAGCTACTAAAGTTTAAACCTTTGCTGATATAGCAGGCACGCACATCGAATTAGTATGAAGACATTGCTGTAGTCTTCTCTCCTCCTCTGTCCGCTTCCCTAGACATTCTGTGAGTTGTGCTATGTTCAGGAAAACTGTCTGGAAGAATACCGTGAGTGATGCCGTTAGCTGGCACCAGGACGAGGCCCAGAACACGACCATATTCATCCTGAAAGAGTATGGTCCGACCGGATTCCTACTCAAAGAGGAGGGGGAACCCAAAAACTTCAAAGTAGGCCTGCCTGTGCAACATCCTAAATTGACATCATCAACATGATATGCCTATTTACCTGGAACAAAATGTTTTTCATAGTTCTTAATCAGGTAGCCTATTTTTCATATTCCACAGGTGTGCTTGGGAGACCCTCATACATGTACCTGTTCAACATTCCACAAAGAGAGAGACCTCTGCAAACACATCTGCTGGTAATAATGAGGAAGACATACCGATCACACATAAAATATAGTGCAAGCTCATTCTGTAAAATAATTCTACTTTCATTGTAGGGTTTTATTGCGGAAATTCAGACTGCCTAGAGAACATGAATGTAAGTTTCACTTAGACATAACATAGGCTACAATGCATATGCCCAATTTCAATTCAAACCCTAGGCACTCTTTGTTGAAATTATTGGATTGGTAATAGCATATTCTTAAACTCTACTGTGCCCTCTGGTGTGTACACTTGCAGATTGCTTCCAACAGGGCCTGGTTGAAAGGCAGATCCTGGAGCTGCTACAGGGTTTACACAGGAGCAGAACCCCCCTGCCTGTAGACCCACCCTGCTCTGAGGCTGACCCTAACCCCAGACCAGACCCAGCTGAGGGGGACAGGGGGGTTAGACAGAAGGAGATTGAAGCCGAGGATGTGTGTCCCATCTGTCAAGAGGAATTGCTGGGGAAACGGCTGCCTGTGTCTTACTGCAGGTCAGATCATCAAATGGATTATTATGTCAACACCCTTACCCTTGGTATACCTATTAAATGGTATACCTATTAAACACAAAGGGAAGTGCTTTGAGGATAGGTGAAACGTACCTGAACTGACCTACTTTTTTGTGAGTTGGGAGAAAACGCCTTCTGCCACCAAATGTCATCCCCTATGTCTTCTTACTCAGGTTTGGCTGTGGCAACAACGTCCATATCTCCTGTATGAAGGTGTGGGCAGACCACCAGGCGCGTCCAGAGGGGGAAGCCATGGTGAAGTGCCCGCTGTGCAGGGAGGACTTTGGGCCGGTCAAGCTGCTCCTGGAGCAGATGAGGAATGTGGCTAAGCTCCACACGGCTGCTGAGAGAGAGAGGCCCGACAGACACCTCGGGGTGCTCTGCAACAACTGCAGGGTCTGCCCCATCACTGGCAAGTGCTTCAAGTAAGTTGTGTTGTCTTGCCCAGTCCCAATCCACTTACCTATACTGTTGTGGATCAACCAATGATGTCTTCCCTTTAGGTGCACAGTCTGCCGTTACTATCACCTTTGCGAGGACTGTATAACAAGGTGCTGTCACCCTCAGCATCAGTTTGCCATACGTACGGTTAGTAGTTTTCAGTTGGACTTTGTGCATTTCTGCATATCGTTGTGTCAGGAAGTAGACGTGATAAACTAATATGATGTCATATGATCACCTATTATGTCCATCAGAAAAGGACTCAGAAGTGGCTGTCCTTGGGTCAGCGTGTGTTCAACACACTGGGTGAACCACATGAGATGACCACTCAGTCAGTGGGTGACAGGTGAGCACTGGAATCTCTCTAAGAACCCTGTATATATAGATTATTGTGCTCAATGTCTGAACACCCTGAATGAAATTTAGATCGTGCTAAAATGCAAAGATGTTGTGTCACACATACACGCTGTTAACAAACTTCACAACCTGCTGCAATAAGCATTGTGATTCATATTTTAGTGCAGTTAAAAAATATTTTGTCACATACACCGACCGGATAGGTGCAGTGAAATGTGTTGTTTTACAGGGTCAGCCATAGTAGTACAGCAACCCTGGAGCAAATTAGGGTTAAGTGCCTTGCTCAAGGGCACAGACAGATTCTTTCACAGGTATTCGAACCAGCGACCTTTCAGTTACTGGCCCAACGTTCTAACCGCTAGGCTACCTGCTGTTAAAATATAGCACGTCTCTCAGCTTTCCTTTCCTCTCCCCGTTCAGCATGATTCCTGTTGAGAGTGACCCACTGCCAGAGCACGTGGTCAGGAGCCTCCCTTCGGTCAGGGTGAGGAGAGGCTGCCCCCTGCTGGACCCTGGGCAGCAGTGTAGGATCTGCCTGAAGAGCTTCCAGCAAGGGCAGCAGGCCAGACACCTGCCCTGCCGTCACAAGGTAAAGACTTAGATAAAGACTACCCTGCCCTGCCGCCACAAGGTAAAGACTTAGATAAAGACTACCCTGCCCTGTCGTCACAAGGTAAAGATAAAGACTACCCTGCCCTGCCGTCACAAGGTAAAGACTTAGATAAAGACTACCCTCTGCTGCCATCACAAGGTAAAAACTTAGATAAAGACTACCCTGCCCTGCCGTCACAAGGTAAAGACTTAGCTAAAGACTACCCTCTGCTGCCGTCACAAGGTAAAGACTTAGATAAATACTACCCTGCCCTGCCATCACAAGGTAAAGACTTAGCTAAAGACTACCCTGCCCTGCCGTCACAAGGTAAAGACTTAGATAAAGACTACCCTGCCCTGCCGTCACAAGGTAAAGACTTAGATAAAGACTACCCTGCTCTGCCATCACAAGGTAAAGACTTAGATAAAGACTACCCTGCCCTGCCGTCACAAGGTAAAGACTTAGATAAAGACTACCCTGCCCTGTCGTCACAAGGTAAAGATAAAGACTACCCTGCCATGCCGTCACAAGGTAAAGACTTAGATAAAGACTACCCTCTGCTGCCATCACAAGGTAAAAACTTAGATAAAGACTACCCTGCCCTGCCATCACAAGGTAAAGACTTAGCTAAAGACTACCCTCTGCTGCCGTCACAAGGTAAAGACTTAGCTAAATACTACCCTGCCCTGCCATCACAAGGTAAAGACTTAGCTAAAGACTACCCTGCCCTGCCGTCACAAGGTAAAGACTTAGATAAAGACTACCCTGCCCTGCCGTCACAAGGTAAAGACTTAGATAAAGACTACACTGCTCTGCCATCACAAGGTAAAGACTTAGCTAAAGACTACCCTGCCCTGCCGTCACAAGGTAAAGACTTAGCTAAAGACTACCCTGTCCTGCCGTCACAAGGTAAAGACTTAGATAAAGACTACCCTGCCCTGCCGTCACAAGGTAAAGACTTAGCTAAAGACTACCCTCTGCTGCCATCACAATGTAAAGAGTTAGATAAAGACTACCCTCTGCTGCCGTCACAAGGTAAAGACTTAGCTAAAGACTACCCTCTCCTGCCATCACAAGGTAAAGACTTAGATAAAGACTACCCTGCCCTGCCGTCACAATGTAAAGACTTAGATAAAGACTACCCTCTGCTGCCATCACAAGGTAAAAACTTAGATAAAGACTACCCTGCCCTGCCGTCACAAGGTAAAGACTTAGCTAAAGACTACCCTCTGCTGCCGTCACAAGGTAAAGACTTAGATAAATACTACCCTGCCCTGCCATCACAAGGTAAAGACTTAGCTAAAGACTACCCTGCCCTGCCGTCACAAGGTAAAGACTTAGATAAAGACTACCCTGCCCTGCCGTCACAAGGTAAAGACTTAGATAAAGACTACCCTGCTCTGCCATCACAAGGTAAAGACTTAGATAAAGACTACCCTGCCCTGCCGTCACAAGGTAAAGACTTAGATAAAGACTACCCTGCCCTGTCGTCACAAGGTAAAGATAAAGACTACCCTGCCCTGCCGTCACAAGGTAAAGACTTAGATAAAGACTACCCTCTGCTGCCATCACAAGGTAAAAACTTAGATAAAGACTACCCTGCCCTGCCATCACAAGGTAAAGACTTAGCTAAAGACTACCCTCTGCTGCCGTCACAAGGTAAAGACTTAGCTAAATACTACCCTGCCCTGCCATCACAAGGTAAAGACTTAGCTAAAGACTACCCTGCCCTGCCGTCACAAGGTAAAGACTTAGATAAAGACTACCCTGCCCTGCCGTCACAAGGTAAAGACTTAGATAAAGACTACACTGCTCTGCCATCACAAGGTAAAGACTTAGCTAAAGACTACCCTGCCCTGCCGTCACAAGGTAAAGACTTAGCTAAAGACTACCCTGTCCTGCCGTCACAAGGTAAAGACTTAGATAAAGACTACCCTGCCCTGCCGTCACAAGGTAAAGACTTAGCTAAAGACTACCCTCTGCTGCCATCACAATGTAAAGAGTTAGATAAAGACTACCCTCTGCTGCCGTCACAAGGTAAAGACTTAGCTAAAGACTACCCTCTCCTGCCATCACAAGGTAAAGACTTAGATAAAGACTACCCTGCCCTGCCGTCACAATGTAAAGAGTTAGATAAAGACTACCCTCTGCTGCCGTCACAAGGTAAAGACTTAGCTAAAGACTACCCTCTCCTGCCGTCACAATGTAAAGAGTTAGATAAAGACTACCCTCTGCTGCCGTCACAAGGTAAAGACTTAGCTAAAGACTACCCTCTCCTGCCATCACAAGGTAAAGACTTAGATAAAGACTACCCTGCCCTGCCGTCACAATGTAAAGATTAAGCTAAAGACTACCCTCTGCTGCCGTCACAATGTAAAGAGTTAGATAAAAACTACCCTCTGCTGCCGTCACAATGTAAAGACTTAGCTATGCACTGCCTCTCATGTTCTACCACCACAAGGTTAAGTTCAGCTATGCACAGCCTCTCCTGTTCTGCCACCACAAGGTTAAGTTTATCTATGCACTGCCTCTCCTGTTCTGCCACCACAAGGTTAGGTTTAGCTATGCACTGCCTCTCCTGTTCTTCCACCATAAGGTTAAGTTCAGCTATGCACTGCCTCTCCTGTTCTTCCACCACAAGGTTAAGTTTAGCTATGCACTGCCTCTCCTGCTCTGCCACCACAAGGTAAACAGAGTAAGTCTAAAGTGGGGGATGCCCTATCTTTAACCCTAAAGGCCCCCAAAATCAAAACACAAAAATTCCTGGAAACACTTTTTAATTCTGGACTGGTTTGACTTTTTTCTGGATGGATGTACTGTGTCCTGATATGGACGGAGAGAGTAGTAACTGAATTTGACCACTCTTGATCTACAGTTGAAGTCTGAAGTTTACATACACCTTAGCCAAATACATTTAAACTCTGTTTTTCACAATTCCTGACATTTAGTCCTAGTAAAAATTCCCTGTCTTTGGTCAGTTAGGATCACCACTTTATTTTAAGAATGTGAAATGTCAGAATTTTAGTAGAGAGAATTATTTATTTCAGCTTTTATTTCTTTCATCACATTCCCAGTGGGTCAGAAGTTTACATACACTCAATTAGTATTTGGTAGCATTGCCTTTAAATTGTTTAACTTGGGTCAAACGTTTCGGGTAGCCTTCCACAAGGTTCCCACAATAAGTTGGGTGAATTTTGGCCCATTCCTCTTGACAGAGCTGGGGTAACTGAGTCAGGTTTGTAGGCCTCCTTGCTCACACACGCTTTTTCAGTTCTGCCCACACATTTTCTATAGGATTGAGGTCAGGGCTTTGTGCTGGCCACTCCAATACCTTGACTTTGTTGTCCTTAAGTCATTTTGCCACAACTTTGGAAGTATGCTTGGGGTCATTGTCCATTTGGAAGACCCATTTGCGAACAAGCTTTAACTTCCTGACTGATGTCTTGAGATGTTTCTTCAATATATCCACATAATTTTCCTTCCTTATGATGCCATCTATTTTGTGAAGTGCACCAGTCCCTCCTGCAGCAAAGCACCCCCACAGCATGATGCTGCCACCCCTGTGCTTCACGGTTGGGATGGTGTTCTTCGGCTTACAAGGGACCCCCTTTTTCCTCAAATCATAACTCTGGTCATTATGGCCAAACAGTTCTATTTTTGTTTCATCAGACCAGAGTACATTTCTCCAAAAAGTACAATCTTTGTCCCCATGTGCAGTTGCAAACCGTAGTCTGGCTTTTTTATGGCGGTTTTGGAGCAGTGGCTTCTTCCTTGCTGAGCGGCCTTTCAAGTTATGTTGATATAGGCAGGGGTGCACATAACTTTTTCAGTGAGTTACTCAGGTGAGTACCAGTAGATGGTGTCTGGTACTCATCCCATATGTAGCGTGGTCTTAATAAGTGCAGTCTTCCTCACTGTCCTCTGCTTCAGCTTCCTGCATGGTAGATGATGAAGATGCTGCAGATGCACCTCCCTGTCCTTGGTTGAGCCTCCGATTAGCTGTCTCCATCCACAGGTCAACAGCAGGCTTTGGGTCAAATGTCTCTGTGGTCTGCTTTGACAGGTGAATGTGCATCAGGGCTGAGAGACGAGCATGTGACAGACAAGATCTGTACTTGGTTGAGATGTGAGAATCCCCTCTCACAAGCTGCACTGCTTAAAGGCAGTGTAAGAGACAGCTTAACCACCTTGTTGATGTTGGAGTAAGCATCTGGGTTACTTGTATTTACTATTTGGACCAAGTCATACACAGAAGAGGCTCCCAGGCGTTTTCCTGCCTGCTTTAAGCACATCCATTCTGTCACAGTGGTATCTTTGTCAAGTTGCAAGGTGGCCTCATATTTCTTGAGAATGCTGCAAACTGTTGTGTTTCCAAAACTGTGGAGGTCTTGCATTTCCTGAGGCCATGTTGAAGGATCAAATACTAAGAAATGATCACATGACTTGAGGGAGTCATATCTGATTTCAAACTCTTCAATTAACCCCCTGAGTAAGTGTGTCTTGTCTCTGTCAGCATCAGCATTGGAAACAGTGTGTGCCCTGTGGCTTTCACCATCAAGCAGAAGTGTGAACTGTCCAATGGCCACCATGAGTTCATCCTTACATTCTCCAATGGTCAGCTTTTCCTTCTGAAACCTAATGGATGTGGTCTTCAAAATGTTGCAAATGTCAAGCATGTGTTAGAAATTGCGTAATTCGGGAGAGATCACGTGACCCTTGAACGAGATGGCCGCATGAACTAGGAGCTCCGCACAAGTAGTTTCCAATTCCTAATCTTACCTCCACTTCAAGTTTAAACTCATTTAGCTTTAGTCAAAAAGTCATGGCGGCTTCAAAAGGCAACACTACAGGTGACATTTTTACCCGGACTCGAGGAAAAAGCCTCCAAGAAGCAGCTAGCTTCAGAAAAAGCTAGCGCCATTAGCCAGGAGAAAGAGGACCCGTCCCCCCCCGAGGCCCAACGAATGCCAACCTCGCACTCTGTCGAAGACATCTTTTCTGAGCTGAGATCCCAACGTACAGAACTCAACACTAAACTAGATGCCATTAACGCTCAGCTCAGTGCGATAGGGGGCAAGGTGACAATCCTGGAAAATGCCTTGCCTGACATAAACAACAAGATAACCATAAACGCGGGGCGCCTGGACGAGGCAGAGGGGCGAATCCTATCCACGGAAAACTTATTGACAGACGCCATGGAAACAATAGCATATGCTAAAAAAAAAATAGAGCAGCTGGAAGAGAAAACAGAGGACCTGGAAAACAGGGGGCGAAGGATTGTGTTCTATTAAATCTGGGCGAAAAAGAAGAGGGAAACATGCCACTGATCCGCTACCTGCAAGACAAACTTCCCGAGTGGCTCCACCTGTCCACCGACAGGCCCATAGAACTCGAGAGAGCTCACCGAGCACTGAGGCCCCCACCAGCAGCCAGACAACCACCGCGCCCAATCATCATACGTTTCCTGAGATTCACCGACAAGGAACGTGTCCTACAGGCGGCGAAAACCAACACCATTACAGTGGGAAACGCCAAACTCACCTTACTCCAGGACCTGTCAGCTGGAATACGCCGAAAGCGCCGAGAGTTTGACGAGGTGAAGAAATGCTCCATTGACCGAGGCATCTTTAGGGGATTCAAATACCCAAACGAGCTCAGGATTCTTCACCAAGGAGCCCTGCGACACTTCAAAACTCCCGAAGAGGCAAAACGTTTTTTGAAAGACAACCCCGGTCAATGAGAAATGGACCATTGACTAAATGCGATTAATGCGATTACTGTTATTACTAAAGGAGGTAAGACAACATATAGCCGATATCCAAAGACACACCGCCCTGCTAAATTTCATTATAGCCGTCCAATCTATATTTATGTTCCTTTAGCTGAGAGGGATAGGCCCCATATTATAACTTAGGCCTACTGTATGTAGGCCGGGCTATTGATTTTATTTTCTCCCTTTCTTAATGTGTTCTGGACGGGGGCTACGTTGTCAGTTACTCAATGCGGGCGGAGAGGATGAGGCATTTCTTTGGTGGGGAGGGGGAGACGTTGTGCGTTGCTAACTGTTCCCGGTCTTTTTTTTTGTTGGAACACAGAATTGTGACTGAGCGGGGAGGTAATAGATCCAACGGGATATGTCGAGTTGTTTGGGAACTCGGCTGGGGTGTTCAGAGATTGTTATTTTATGTAAACCATTTATTTTCCTTTTATGTGAACGCAGCTGTAACTACGATCCACCTTTACCCAGAGATGACTTGCACTAAAGTTCGATTACTGTTCGATGACGATGACTAGTACCTTAAATCTATTGACATGGAACTGCCACGGTCTAGGCCATGCAATAAAACGGAAAAAGATACTATGTGCTCTAAAAAAGGAAAAAGCAGACATCGCGCTATTGCAAGAGACACACCTCTGTGATGCTGAACATGCCAAACTCCGTAGAGCTTGGGTGGGACAGGTGTATTTCTCATCTTTCAAATCCAACAGTAGAGGTACAGCAATACTTATCCATAAGAATGTTCCATTCATAATTGACAAAAACATATCTGATCCGGAGGGGAGATTTATCTTGATAACTGGGTCACTGTATGGGCAACCAATTACTATCTTAAACATATACGCCCCTAACACAGATACTCCTGCTTTTATGTCGAAAATGATAACTCTGTTCAATGAGCATTGTGTTTCCTTTGGAGTGTTGGCCGGAGATTTTAATTGTACCCTGAACCCAACCCTAGACAAATCATCTCAAATCACCACCACAAATCCTAGATCTGCAAAGATGTTGAACTCTCTTACTAAAGAGATGGGACTGATAGATATCTGGAGAGAGACTAATAGCTCAGCTATGGACTATACATACTACTCTAATGTCCATAACACCTACTCCCGTATAGATTACATTTTTATCCCAAAGAGTTTCATAAATTCAGCCACGTGTACAATCGGACCCATAGCGCTTTCGGATCACGCCTTTGTCCACCTCCGCTTTGACCTCTGCAAAAACATCCCGAGATCAAAGAGCTGGAAATTCAACACCTCCATGCTATCAAACGAAGCATTCCATACATTGGTAACTACATGGATAGACAACTACACACAAGACAACAAAGATTCTCCTGTTTCTCCGGCCACAATGTGGGACGCTGCTAAAGCCACACTAAGAGGTCATCTAATTGCATATGCTTCCTCTAAGAAAAAAGCAATGGAAGCACACAGGCTAGATCTGGAGAGGGAGCTGGAACGCTGTGAAAAAGTACATAAACAATCCCCAGACAGCACCTCCTGGAGTCAACTTAAAGCAGCCAAAGCCAAACTGAATTTGGACTATACTCGGGAG